CCACCAGTCTAGCAGAGGGGCTTATCAACCCCTTTGGAGCAAGACCAAACTGTACTTCTTCCAAAACAGTCCAGGAGGCAGACATTCCAGGACACGAAGAGACTCAGAGGCCACAGACCAGTCTTTACATTAACCATTGACTGACTCCAAGGTCACTCAAGTACATCGCTTCTCACCACCACTTTGTCCTAGACTCTGCAAAGACTACTACTTAACGTTTAGACATTATTCACGGGCTCTACGCTTCTGCTTGTGAGATGCATGCTTTCAAACACCCACACACCATGGACTCCCTGTGCCTTGAAAGGCAGCAGGCATGGAGGTCTGGTCCACAACTGGACCATTGCTGCCAAGGGTAGCAGCCGGTGGATGCGCCCTGGTCCTCTCTATAAATTTCCTGAGCTAGAAGTGGTAGGTTTGAAATGATTAGAGATATCCAATCATAGGAGGTAAGTTTTATCAACTGACCTCAAAGATCAAGCTACCACAATTTTTGAATACTTGGCAAGCACTGTATTAGCCATGTGTTGTAATGAGATAAAATTTATCCTCTGGGAAAAATACATTCAAATTTTAAATGTGACTTAAGAACAGTAATTGTCCCAATATATTACTTCCTTCTTTCTCTGGAGAGAAGGCATGACTGAATCATCAAATATACAGTGGGATTTCACAGGGTGTCAGGCTTGCAGAGAATTTGGCCAAGAGCCTTCTAGAACACCTGGACTCCAGGATCTCAGCCTATGTCTTCCTTTCAAGATCCCTCTTATTCAGCCTCCAAGACCCAATCTTTCCTTATGATCTAATGGATCTCATTTTCCTTCCTATCTGTCTAGTTTTGGCAATTCAATCTCAAATTTTTCTCAAGAAAATTCTTCTCTTCCTTCAGTCTCATAAAAATGACTTTATTTTTCTTTCAATCTCCCACTGCTCCTGTACCTACTTTCTCGATGAAAGCCTGCTTTTAAATCTACCCAGTTACTCCTGGAGAGTCTTAACAAACCTGATTCCCAGAGACCTACATAGGCTTTTTAATTTTCTTTTATTAAAAAGATGAGATTACAATAATTTCATTGGGTTTTTCCACCTAACTTAAGAGGATGACATCTGTGTATTACAAGGACCCGTCCTTCTTTACAAATTCATTAACAAAATTCCACCTGTGTCTGAACTCCAGGTTGGTCCCTTGCAGTCCACAATCATGATAGGAGGTTGCATAATTAACAGGGGAAAGTCAACTTGAGATCATGGTGGGTAAGGAAGGACACTGACTTCAATAGCCCATGAACAAGCCACATGATACCAGGAGAATGATATTGCCACCGGTCCCACTTTGACCACAGAACTGGTTACAAGTCGAAACAAGTTAAAGGACAGGATTTGAGGCAGCCAATCAGTGACTGCTACCAATCACTTTACAATTTAAAGACTGGAACCCTATACATCAATGTTCCTAAGTCTTGGCCTGCAGAGAAACATGCAAAGAAAACAAATATGTTTTCACTTGCCAATGTCAAAAAAACCTGTACAACCAAAAGATGCTTTTGTTTTATATCCAGTGCACCTGCTAAGTTCAGAAACAGCAAGCCCGCTCTCATAGCCTGTGCCCAATGAAAATGGACGTGTGCATGTGACTGCTAGCAATGAAGCAATGAAGATGTCACAAATAATGAAGGAAAAGCTGAGTGACCAACCCTTTGTAAAACCTTCTTCAAAACCACACCAGCAGCGCCTTAATTTCCTTGCGTCATGTTTAGGTCCCCAAATGGATGTCCTGTGTCCAGTCCTGAGGTTTCCAGACTTTATATTATACAAAGGAGTTTGAAGAAGGCTACTAAATTTTCACATCCTCTCCATTCTGAATTCTGAATCAATTTAAGAGTCAAAGATCAAAACACTGATTTTTATCACCAACACAAAGAACGAGATATCTCAGTATTTACTGAAAAGGAACAAACTCTAGTGCATAACTGTATGTGATCCATGTCATCTTTATGTATGTATGTATGTATGCATGCATGTATGCATACATGACTGGATACCAGGGCAGCCTTTTTACATCAACCCATGAAGTCTGGATTTTAGCCTCTTCACATGGGAAATTTGGAAAAACAGAGTAGATAACTAACTAGGCAGTCACTTTAAAAGATTATGGCTCAACTCCTCCCTGGCTGGGCACAGAGTACTAAATAAAAAACAAACATACACAGGGAGCCATGGATTAGCTATGAATCTCACCCACTAGAGAAATAGTGGGAGAGGTTTCTTGCTAGCTCACCATTCACATATATCTCCCATTTCCATTGCAACCCACTAGTGAGAGGTGTGGAGAGCAGAGAAAGTTATTTTCCAATAATACTATGTTCCTATGTAGGGTAGCTTAACAGATGTATAACAACAGACTAGAATTTAGTTGGTACAAACTGGTCCTTAATCCAAGTAGCCAGGTTACAGTTATCTCTGATCACGCACAGGACTTCAACCTATGCCTATCCATACAGCCTATCCATACTCTGGGATCAGAAAACTTCTTAAAGGGTCAGATACCAAATATTTTAGGCTCTGAGGGCCATATAGTCCTTGTTGCAAATAATCAACTCTCTTGTTGCAACTAATCAACTCTCTTGTTGCAGGGAGAAAGCAGCCAGAGACAATACGTACATGAATGACTGTGGCTCCATTCCAATCGAACTTTATTTACAAAAACAGAAGAACATAATTTGCTGACCCATCATCTAACCTGTTAAACAGGACAAAGCCCCTTCTTTATCTAAGTAATTTGGTGCAAACTGCAAGAAATATTTGCATGGCCTGGGACTTCAACATCCTTTACTCAGACCATCATAGTGAACTTCCAACTGATGTCCGGTAGAAGCTACTTCCCACTGATTCATCTCATGCATTCCACCATAGCTGTACCTCTACAATTCAATCTTGATTCCCTAACTACCCTACATAAAAAACTTCCCATGTCTCCTAATTTTTTCAAGAAGGAAATCTAATCTCTTCATCATGGCTTACAGACCATTCTCTATCTGTTTCCAAATTACTCGTGAAGTCATTCCTTCATATACCAGCCTCCAGCTCAACTAAAGTGTCGAATATTTTCCAAATAGGCTATCCTCTTCTATGTCTTCAAATCTTTTCACATACTACATCAGTCAGAGTTATTAATGCCCACTGCCAAAACAAACAAACTTAACACAATAAACATCTATTTCTCTTTCGTGTGAAATATGATGCTGGTCAGAGGGCCTCTCCTCCATCTAGTGACTTAGAAATCCACGTTTCCCCCATCTTGTGACTCATCCATTTCAAAATATTACTACCAAGTAGAGGCATACCTTGGACATAATGGAGGTTCAGTACCAAACCACACCAATGAGGCAAGTATCGCAATAAAGAGAGTCAGATGAATTTATGGTTTCCCAGTGCATACAAAAGTTATGTTTACACTGTACTATAGTGTAGCAAGTGTACAATAGCATTAGGTCTAAAAAATGCAAATACCATAATTTAAAAGACTTTACTGCAAAAAATGCTAACCATCATCCGAGCTTTCAGCGAGTCATAATCTTTTCACCGGTGGAGGGTCTTGCCTCCGTGTTGATGGCTGCTGACTGATTGGGGTGGTGGTTGCTGAAGGTTGAGGTGGCCGTGGCAACTTCCTAAAATAAGACAATAATGAGGTTTTTTTCTGTAGCATGTAGTGCTGTTTGATAGTATTTCACCCACAGAACTTCTTTCAATACAGGAGTCAACCCTCTCATACTCTGCCTCTGCCTTTATCAACCACATATATGGAATATTCTAAATCCTTTATTGCCATTTCAATAATCTTCACAGCATCTTCACCAGGAGTAGCTTCTATCTCAAGAAACTATTTTCTCTGCTCATCCACGAGAAGCAACTCCTCATCCATTCAAGTTTTATCAGGAGATTGCAATTTGGTCCCTTCTTCAGGCTCCACTTCTAATTCTAGTTCTCACGCTGTTCCCACACCTGCAGTGACTTCCTCCACTGAAGTCTTGAATGCCTCAAAGACATCCATGAGGGCTGGAATCAACTTCTTCCAAATTCCTGTTAATGTTGACATTCTGAGCTCTTCCCATGAATCACAGACGTTCTTAATGTCATCTAGAATGGTCAATCCTTTCCAGAAGGTTTTCCACAGTTTTTCAGGTTGCCCTGATCCATCAGAGGAATCACTATTATAGCAACTAGAGCCTTACAAAATAGTAAGACTTGAAATAATAAGATTTTCAAGTCCCATTAATAATATAATTACTTATTATTCAATAATTAATACTTAATTATTAATTAATTATTAATAATTAATTAATGCTTGATAATAAGACTTGAAAGTCAAAATTACTCTTGATTCATGGGCTGCAGAAAGGATGTTGTGTGGGCAGACATGAAAACAACATTCATCTCATTACACATCAGAACCCTTGGGTAAGCAGGTGCATTGTCAAGGAGCAGTAATATTTTGAAAGGAGTCTTTTTTTCTGAGCAGTGGGTCTCAACAGTGGGCTTAAAATGTTCAGTAAACGACACTGTAGACCGATGTGCTGTCATCAAGGCCCATTGTTCCATCTATAGAGCACAGGCCTTGTAAATGTAGCAACATTTTAGGACCTTAGAATTTGGAGGATGGCAAATGAGTATTGGTTTCAACTTAAAGTCACCAGCTGTATTAGTCCCTAACAAGAGAGTCTGCCTGTCCTCTGAAGCCTTAAAAGAAGGCATTGACTTCTCCACTCTGTGAAAGTCTTAGATGGTGTCTTCTTCCAAAAGGTAGCTGTTTTGTCTACAATGAAAATCTGTTTAGTGTAACCACCTTCATTAATTAACGTCTAGAGCTTCTGGGTCACTTGCTGCAGCTTCTCCATCAGCACGTGCTGCTTCACCTTGCACTGTGACGTCACAAAGGCAGCTTCTTCCCTTAAACCTCATGAACCACCGTCCACCAGCTTCAGACTTCTCTCCTGCAGCTTCCTCGCCTCTCTCAGCCTTCCCAGAACTGAAGAGAGTCAGGGCCTGGCTCTGAACTAGGCTTTGGCTTAAGGGAATGTTGTGATTCATTTGATCTTCTATCCAGACCACTCAGACTTTCTCCATCTCAGCAGTAAGGCTATTTTGCTTTCCTGTCATTGGTGTGTTCACTGGAGTAGCATTTTTAACTTCCTTCAAGTACTGTTCCTTTACATTCACACAAAGTGGCTAACTGGTGCAAGAGGCCTCGTTTCTGGCTTCTCTCTGCCTTTGACAAGCTTTTCGCACTAAGCTTAATCATTGTTAGCTTGTGATTTAAAATGAGGAATTCCTATCACTTGAATACTTAGAGGCCACTGTAGATTATTAATTGACCTAACTTCAGTATCAGTTGTGTCTCAGAGAAAAGGGAGACCTGAGGAGAGGGAGAGAGAGAGATGGGGAATGGTCAGTTGGCCAGTGGAGCAGTCAGAACACACACAGCATTTACTGATTAAGTCTGCCATCTTATAAGGGCATGGTTCATGGTACCCTAAAACAATTACAGTATTAACCCAAAGATCATTGATCAGATGGTCACTAATCGTGAGGAGCACTGAGTAATGTGTGGACTTTTCAAGTCACTGTGTTGTACACCTGAAGCTAATATAATGTTATACGTCAACTCTACTTCAATAATAACTATATATATATATATATATATATATATGTATGTATATACACACATACACACATACATACATACAATGTTTTGGTGCAATTGGGCAAACTGAAACTGGATTAGGAATTAGATAAACATTATGCTGGTATCAAAAGGCAGAGATTGATAAATGAAAAAGTAGATTACAAAGCAACATGTGTAATATGATCTGATTTTAAATTAAAATGCACAAGCTGGGCGCCTGGGTGGCTCAGTGGGTTAAGGGGCTGCCTTCGGCTCGGGTCATGATCTCAGGGTCCTGGGATCGAGTCCCGCGTCAGGCTCTCTGCTCAGCAGGGAGCCTGCTTCCTCCTCTCTCTCCGCCTGCCTCTCTGTCTACTTGTGATCTCTCTGTCAAATAAATAAATAAAATCTTAAAATAAATAAATAAATAAAATGCACAAGCATTTTAAAACACACATATATGTATGTATAGGTATATGCATATAAATATAATAATGCATAAAAAGATCTGTAAAAATACACAATGCTTAGTATAAATGTCTTGTTTTTATCATTCTTATGATCTATATTTTCTAATTTTCTACAAGATTCTTGCAATAATTACTTTAATCAATCAATTAATTAAGAAATCTCTTTAGTAATGGGGTGCCTGGGTGGCTCAGTCTGTTAAGCATCTGCCTTCGGCTCGGGTCATGAACCCAGGGTCCTGGGATCAAGCTTCACATCAGGCTCCCTGCTCGGTGGGGAGTCTGCTTCTCTTCCCAGTTGCCTGCTTGTGCTCTGTCTCTCAAATAAATAAATTAAAAAAAAGAAAAAAAGAAAAAAGAAATCTCCTTAGTAATAATGGAATGACTTGACTGCTTTTGGTGACCTATCCAAGAGCTGTGAGAATTTTAATAAATGTGAGAATTTGATTATTTTTTTTAAAGTCACTGATCACAGATCACCATACCAAACATAATAATAATGAAAATCTTGAAATATTGCAAGAATTACCAAAATGCAACACAGAAACACGAAGTGAGCAAATGCTATTGGAAAAATTGTGCCAATACATTTGTTGGATGCAGCGCTGCTGCAGACCTTCAATTCGTAAAAAAAAAAACACAATATCTGCAAAGTGCAGTGAAGCAAATGCAATAAAATGAGGTAGGCCTGTATGTGGCAGCAGGAGAAGAGAGAAATGGACAAGGCACACTAACATTTAAGTGACTGGGATACTAAGCAATCCCATCCACTAAGACTCAGTCACATAGATCCATTCCAACTGCAAGAAAACTGAGAAATGGAGGGGTGCACTTGAACAATTAGTGAGTCCAAAATCTCTGCCACGTACACTATGCTCCTTGCTTCTCTTTCCACTTCTTCTCTTACCTGTCTACTTCCTTTCCTAGGAAACACCTTATCATCTTCCAAACTCTGATCAAATGTCACCTTCCTCACTTCTTCAGATAGTATCTCCCCTCCCCTACACTGCCTTAAGTTTTAACATAAATATCTACTGTCCACATATTATCCTCCTTTACAATAATTTGCCTGTATGCCTAACTCCCAATTCAGAACCCAAGAAGAATATCTTCCTCATCAGTGACTTCTCACCTCCCAGCACCATGCCTGGCTCCTATACACACACAGTACATATCTGATACGTGAATGAAGGATATGAGTTCACCAACAAGCGTTATAGAAGGATTAGCCCATGAAAGCAAAAAACCAAAGAGGATCGACTTTCTCGTATGCCCTTATCACTGTTCCGAGTTATTAGTTAAGGATGAAACTACTTATGGTAAAGGAGCTCTCAGGAAATGATGATCCCTGGACCAAATATATTAAAGTGGAAAACATCTAAAAGAGCCACATGATCAAAGGGTACCCTGTAAAGTTTAAAACGACATAATATTTTGATTCTGGAAGTGGAAGACTTGAAGAGTTTCCAGTTGGGAACAGGCATTGTTGCTGAGATGTGCTGTCCGCGGCTTTCCTCTGAGAAAATGGGAGATGTAGACAGTGGTGCAAATATTTCCAGGCGGCCGGCCAAGTTAGTAATCCCAGGCCTGTGTGTATGTCGTGAGACGGACTGGCCTCTCTCAAGCTGACATTCGAGTCCCCTCCCATGTCTGATCATGCCTGTCTTACAGCTTTAAAATAAAATGGCCAAATTCAGAAAAAGTCGGTGGAATCCATCCTATTTCCAAGGCAGAGAAGTCTTGGGTACTGGAAAAGTCTCTACCTCGAATTTCCGGTGGCTTGCTGCATTCTGACTGAGGTTAGGTAACCATAACAAAAAGCAAAACGAATGACTTCAGTGAAAAGTTGGCCCGGGGCAAAGCCAAGAGGTATGATATTTCTTTTGGATTATAAACAACAGAAGCACTTAAACTGATGTCGTATTGTTCAGAATTCCGGAGATAAGTGTAATACATTTAAGGACTTCTAAAAAATGTTTTCAAGCTGTTGATACTTCAGTTGAACGGTGTGGCTGCCTGGCTTTTCTTCCCCCCTGCCCCGAAGAATTCATTAAGGAGTCTTAGGAATCAGGGGCTAGTGTAGAACAGCTGCCTTTGCATCGGTGCCCTGTGGTTCATACACTCACCCTCTTCCTGAGAGGATCTAGAATCGTATTCGCTGAGACTCTCCTAAACACGTCTCTCAACGAAACCCTGCCATTAGCACCAAAAATTCCAGCAGACTGACTAGCTGTGGGCAACATCTCATCTCGCTGACAAAATCTGCCATCGGCCTCGATTAGTCCGGAGAGCCTGTCTCATCAGGAAAGCTCCATGACAAATCTACTTCTGGCGCCAGTGTGAAAGCACCGCCATGAGGACCACAGTCAAAATACATTTGGGTTCTGGACCCGTGTGAAAACTTATCACTGAAGTAGACTCCTTGCTGAGGGACAGGAGCTGCCCTGCGCTGAGGGTGAAAATTGGTTCCGTGGGGGAAAGCTTCAAAGCCGTTTCAGCCATTAAAATGTGACTGGACAGATCAGGAAAGCAGGAGGGGTTGAAGCTTCATGTGGGGATGCCGTGGGGAGCTGGTAAAGAACTCGCTCCAGAAAATGGCCAGGCGGCCAGGCATTCATTCTCGGGAGCAAAACCATCGGGGCCAGAGCCTCATTACCATTCGGTTGTCTACCTTACCAATTACTGGTGTATTTACCCTGTTCGGACTCACTCCGTGTCAAAAATTAATAATGCCAATGTGGACTGCCAGTCTGAGGTGAGCTAAGGCTTGCTACCCCAGAAGGAAAATAATGATTCTCTAGTCTTGAATCTGGAAAGCACTTTAAATGTCTCAGAATGAGAAACAGAAGCTGCTGGAAAGCTTCATGAAACAAGCATGCTCACGCTGCCACATGCGGTAAGAGGGGCTTGCCCCGGGGGGTGGCTCTCAAGGTGCGGTCAGGCCAGCAGCAGCCACATGCCCCATGGACGTGTTAGAAATGCAGAGTCGAGGGCCCCCACCGACACCTCCTGATCCTGAAACTCTGGCCGGATGGCCCAGCAATCTGTGTTTGAGACTCTGGGTGATTCTGAAGCCAGCTCAAGTCAGCCAACCACTGCTCTGCGGGATAGGAGGGATGTTCACAGACAGCTGCTAATTCAGCCCCCACTCAACTGACGACCTCCAGGGATCCTTGCCACCTCACTGTCCTTCCATCCTATTCCATCTAAAAAAGGGCTGCCATGTCAACCACTGTGGTCCCAATCCCGCTGCCTCGCCCATGCTTCTGGCCAGATAATCAGAAAACCTGTGCTAAGCCCCTCATTTCTTCTCCAAAAGCTCTAGGGCTGCCAAGATGTACTCTGACCTCATTTTATATAAATCTACATCCTACAGAGAACGGTTGTTTTGTTCTGTTTTGGGTTTTTTGTTTTTGTTTTCGTTTTTTGTTTTTTTTTTATCTTCAGCTCTCTCATTCGGTTTTGTTTTTTAATTTGCCCTGGGCTTGGGGGTGGACAAAACTAAAAGGGATGACAGTGCATCTAGATCAGGGGTTGGCCAAATCCAGCTCCCTGCCTGTTTCTGTAAATAAAGTTTTATTGGAGCAAAGCCACGCCCACTCATTGCATACTGTCTAAGGTCAACTTTCAAACTACACCAGCAAGGTCGAAGACTTGTGACAGAGACCCAGAGACCGGCGAAGCCTCAAATATTTACTCTTTGACCCTTTTCAGAAAACATTTTCAGATCCCTGACTAGATGCATAACCAGCCCACACTGAATAGGAGCTCAGAACAAGAGCCGGCAGGGAGGGGGTCCTGAGCTGGAAGGAGTGGGGACTTCATGGATGAGAGCGGAGGGCCTCTGCGGGGAGAACACAGTGTGCTGGTGCCTGGGAACCCCAGGTCTGAATGCAGGGACAGGTACAGGGTCCCAAAGGACCATCTAACTTGTAAAAAGTCCTTCTGATGATTCTGCACGAACTAGTCCACGACCACACTTTGGGAAATGCGGAATGACCT